AGGGATGGAGATGGGAAGGATTTGGGGAGCAAGAGGCAAAGGAATGGGGATGGGAAGGGTTTGGGGAGCACCAAGTGAGGGATGGGGATGGGAAGGATTTTGGGGAGCCCTGGGTGAGGGATATAAAGGATTTTAGAAGCATTAAGAGAGGAATGGGGATGGGAAGGGTTTGGGGAGCCCTGAGGGAGGGACAGGAATGGTTTGGCTCCAAACCCACCAGTACATTGATGTTCTCCTTCTGGTTGAGCAGCGACCGAACCTCCTCCACATCTCGGTTGAAGATGGCTTGGACCAGAGGGGGCTGTAAGGGACAGGGGACACAAGTGGTGACAGTGATGGGACACGAGGGGTGACAGTGACAGGGGACACAAGGGGTGACAGTGATGGGACACGAGGGGTGACAGTGATGGGGGACACGAGGGGTGACAGTGATGGGACACGAGGGGTGACAGTGATGGGACATGAGGGGTGACAGTGATGGGACACGAGGGGTGACAGTGATGGGACACGAGGGGTGACAGAGGACACAAGGGATGACAGTGACAGGGGACACGGCTGCAGCCCCACACCAGCAGGAAATCCCCACTCTCCGCTCCCTCACCCCAACCAGCCCCGGGGATGGATTTTCCAGCCCATTTTTCCCGGCTTTTCCTTGGTAACCAAAACTGGGAATCTTTGGGAAAGCGCTGACCACAACAGGGCCGAGCTCTCCGAGGCCCCAGCTCCTGCCACCCAAAACTTGGGCACAGTAACGACCCCTGAAGCCCCTTCCTTCTTCCCAGGCCTAAAAATTCCATTTTCCTGCAGAAAAACAGGGGCAGAGCTGCCCTCGGGGCCAAAGCCCCCATGGCCCCACTGAGGCTTTTTGGGATGGAGGGATTTGGGTGCTGTGACCCCTCCCAAGCTCTTCCCATCCCCACATCCTCCCAAGGCCGGATTTAAAGCTCAAAACCACCAAATCTCGGTTTTTTTTCAGCCTCTCCGAGCTCTGCCTGGCAGTGACTCCTTCCCAGGCCTGAAATAAGGGCACTTCCAACCCCAGGAACACATCCTGGGTCAGGGCAAGGCTGTGTCATCCCCCTGGAATGCAGCAGCCTCGGCATCATTTGTTAAGGTACTTTAAAAAAAATATAATTTATTTTTTTTTTTATTACAAAACAAGTATTGAAGGAAAGGCTGGAAAACACTGATGGTGCCCCAAAACGCTCCTGGCACACAGGAGAGGGGAGTGGTTGGGATATCCCAAAAAATTAAGTTCTGTTTAAATCAGAGGTTGATCCTTCTCCGATTCCTCCTTCTTTCATCCCCTCCCAATCCCAAATTCTCCCTTTTTTCATCCCCCTCATCCTCAGCTCTTCCCAGGGCTCCAAAATTCATCCCTGGTTTAATGGCAGGAGAGGAACCAGGGTTTGGTGTGGGGTTTTGGGGCTCTGGAAGACCCTGACCCCAAAATCCAGGGGATAAAGATGGTTTTGGGGAAATCCGTGGGGAGAAGGGGGTCTGACCCCAGGGTCACGGCTCTGGGGACAGCACAGCCATGGGAGGGGTGTCCCCAAAACCTGATGGGGACACTCTGAACCCCAGAACTGTCCCTAAAACATGACAGGGACACTCTGCACACCAAGAGTGTCCCCAAAACCTGATGGGGACACTCTGAACCCCAGAACTGTCCCTAAAACATGACAGGGACACTCTGAACCCCAGATTTGTCCCCAGAACCTGATGAGGACACCCTGCACCCCAAAAAAAGTTCCTAAGGCATAACAGGCATACCCTGGAACCCAGGAGCATCCTCAGATCCCAATGGGGACACCCTGAACCCCAAATGTGTCCTTAAAACACCACAGGGACTCCCTGCAATCCAGAAGAGTCCAAAAAACAGCCCAGGAGTGTCCCCAAAACCTGATGGAGACACCTTGCATCCCAAAAGCATCCCCAAAACCTAACAGGGACATTCTGCAGCCCAGGAGCACCCTCAAAACCCAGCAGGGGCTCCCTGCACCCCACGGCTGTCCCCAAATCCCGATGGGACACTCTGCATGTCGGGGGTGTCCCCAAAACCCTACAGGGATGCTGTGCACACCAGGGGTGTCCCCAAAACTCCATGGGCACACTCTGCAAGCCAGGGCCACCCCAAAAACCTGACAGGGACCCCACTGCTGTCCCCAAAACCTCTCTGAGGCCACCCTGAGACCCAGGGGTACCCTGAAAATCCAAGAGCCATTGGAAGGAAGGGCATTGAGACCAGGGTCCCATCCCGGGGGTCCGGGATCCCCCCCTTGATCCTCAAAACTCCGATCCAGGAGGTTTCAGTCATGGGATTTTGCCATTCCCGGGATTCTCCTGCTCCCTATCCAGGTGTCCCAACCCCAGGGATCTCCCGTTACCGGACCGGGATGTCCCATCCCTGCGGGCCCCGTCGTTCCCGATCCAGGTGTCCCATTCCCGGGATTCTCCTGTTCCAGGCCCGGGGGATCCCATCCCCGAGATTCTGCCGTTCCCGGGCTTCTCCCGTTCCCGATCCAGGTATCCCATCCCTGTGGGCTCCCCTGTTCCTGATCCAGGGGGTCCCGTTCCCGGGGGCTCGCCGTTCCCGAGGGTCCCGTCCCCGGTTCAGGGGGTCCCGTTCCCGGGGTTCTCCCGGGGCAGGATCCCCCTCTGACCCTTCACATTCCCGGTTCAGGGGGTCCCGTTCCCGGGGCTCTCCCGTTCCCGATCCAGGTGTCCCAACATCAGGGTTCTCCCATTCCCGGGCCGGGATTTCGCATCCCGGGGGCTCCGCCGTTCCCGGTTCAGGGGGTCCCGTTCCCGGGGCTCTCCCGGGGCAGGATCCCCCTCTGACCCTTCATATTCCCGGTTCAGGGAACCCCACGGTTCTCCGGGAGTCCCATCCCCGGGGTCTCCGCCGTTCCCGGCGCGGGTGGGGTCTTTCCCGAGGCTCCCATTCCCGGG